CCCCCCGCCGGCCGGTACAAGGGGTAAGGCCCCCGGGGGGGGGGGTGGCGGCGGCCCACTTCGGGCCCGAATGACCCCCCTCCTCCGTGTCTCACAGCCGCTGTCACCCGCAGGGATGCCTGGCACAGCCTGGGGAGGATGTCCAAGGAGGAGGCGATGGCGGCTTACGTGGCCGAGATGAAGAAGGTGGCCCAAAAGGTAACAGGGAGGGGGAGAGCAGGTGGGGTGCTTGGTGGTGCCCGTCGCAAGCTGCGTCCCTCCCCAGATCATTGACACGGTGCCCATGGACGAGACGACGGAGGAGATGTTTGGGTACTTCGAGCCGCTCTATGAGGTGATCCACGACATGCCCCGGCCCCCCGAGGCCTTCTTCAAGAGGAAAGGGGGTGAGTGGGAGCCTCTGCGCTCTGCTTGTGCCCAGCGCATCCCTCACCTCTGTGCCACACTCTTCTCTCCCGGCACATCGCTCCTGCTGTCTCTGCTTGCTCCTGCACCGGTACAGCCATCGCCTCTGGGCTCTGCTCTTTCCCAGGGCAAATCCTTTTGCTGCTCCCTGGGCGGGGGGACAGGATGGCTGCACCACCTCCCATCTGACTCCCCTGCCGCGGCACAGCTGCGGTTGAGGTGCTTCTTTGGGCACCACCGAGCAAGCGTCTCGTCAGTGACGCAGGTGTCTTTTCAGTCTGGGCTTTGTCTCTGCGAAACTTCGAGGAGAGAACTTGAGATTTGGCTTCCAAATGCCGCTTGGCCCGAATCCCTGTACACGGTAGAGCAGGGGATCGGCTCCCGTGGAGTGTTGCAGCAGGGAGGCTGTGCTTTTTCTTGGCGCTGGCCCACCTCCGGGCAGGGCGGGCTGTGCGCAGGGAGTGCGGGTCATCCGATGTAAACATCGGGATAGGCCGGGCAGTTTTTGCAGCGGAGTGGGTGCAGAGAAGCTGGGGTTGGGAAATGGGATTACCGGGACCGCCTTGTGCTAGAGAAGAGTCCTTCCCGGCCCTTTCCATGCCTGTGACTGCCGCCTCATGCTGAGAGGTGGCTGGGGACCCCTCCCGCCCCTGGCACAGGGCAATCCTCGGTGTATCTGACTTGTGAGAAGCGTCCGAGTGTGTGAGGGGCTGGATGTGGTGGTTCAGAAAGGTGTTGGCTACTGCGAAGTGAGCCTGCCGGCTGTACGCCTGGAGGTTTGGCTGTGCTGCGTCTCCAGTAGATTGGCTCAGCGGTATGTAAACTTTCGGGGTGTATTTGCAGCGGGTGCGTGAACTGGCAGTGCTTTGGTAACGTTGGAAGAGCGCTGACAAATAGACTCGCTCCCCGCCTGTCCCCAGGCGTCTGTCCTGTGTCTGACAGCTGCTGTCACCCCCTGCTTCCAGCAAGGATGCTGCAACCGCCTGGCCTGGAAGGCTTGGCCTCAGGATGGCTGCTCCTTCCTGTGGTACCCAGGCGCTTCTCTTCTCCGTTCTGATGCTGAATCCCTTTAAAAGGCAAATAGGCTTAATTTTTCTCTGGAACATAAAAGGTGGGTCTAAACCCCTGGTCATTACCCGTTTGTGACCGTCATCCCGCGCTAGTGTCACTTAGAGATGACACTGTCACTTAAATCGAAACCTGGTAGCGTCTGTGGAGCGACTGAGCCCAAGGTGCCTGAAACGGTGGTGTAAACCGCTGAACTTCTTAAGCTGTTGCGTCATTTGTGTGAAAGGTTCTCAAGCCTGCCTTCAGATTTTGTGCGATTGCAACTTTTGTTACTGATAATCCAGAGGAGAAAGGTGACTTTAGACGCCGCGGCAGGTGAGGGGGGAGCGTGGCAGGCGCGGGGCCCTCGGTGGCTGCGGAGCTTTTTGGGGACAGAGGTGCTGCACGGTGGGAGTCCGGGCAGGTTTGGTTTTGTTTATTTACAAAGTCAACCCACCGTAAAGTGGCACTTGGAAGCCAAATCGTGAATGGTTCGTGCTGGGTCTCCAGCATCTTGTACGCATAGGCCAAGACTGAAGCAACTGGGAACCAGTGGTTAAGCCCTTCAGGCGCAGGCCCGGTGCCGCTCTGCCAGCCCCGCTGGCGCGGGGGACCGGTGTTGGAGCCAGGCGGTGATGTGCAAGGTGACAGGACCCTGCCCGCCACGGGGCAGGCTCGGGGTCACAGCAGACATGCTGAGGAGGGATTTGAGGACGGTGACGTGTCCCTGAGCGGAGCAGCCCTGGCCCTAACTCCTGTGCGGCTACCCTGGTTCCCCTCGGGGGATTCGGTCACCTGGGCTGGGTCCCACCGCCTGGGCCTGCCGTGATGGTGACGGCAGGTTGGGAATGGCGGAGATGTGCGGGCAAGGCGCAGGCAGGGCAGCGTTGCCACATACCTGCCCGGCCAGCAGCAGGGAGCAAAGTCCCGGGGGCCACTGGCAATGCTGCCTGTCTGGGCTTAACCCCGCGGGCTCCGCGGGGCGGTGGGGGGGGCTGGATCTCCGGGCAGGCAGCTGCCCCAGGCCCTCTCTGGGGTGCTGCTGCCTGCTGAAAGCTCTTGGTGTGCACTGCCTGGACAAGGCTCTCTCTTGTTGCGTTAGGCTCTGTTCGTTACCGCGGGTGTGCCATGTACCCTGCCAGGGGACGAGGACGGTGGCCGTCACCCCTCGGTGTTTACCGAGCCAGCGCTGATCCTTCTGCCTGCTGCCGCAGGGGCTCGGGGACTCCCCTGCCACCCGCGGGGGAGCGAGACGGGGTAGACCCGGGGGACGGTTGAGTTTGTGGTGATTCCTGGGCCATCGGCAAACGGAGCCGGCCCCTCTCCACCTCTGCCAGCTGCGTGTCCAGAGACTGTGTCTGTGTGTCCCCCAGCCGTGCTGGCAGGGAAGCAGCACTGAGCCCAGCCCGCAGAGAGCCTGCACCCGCAACGCTTTAATTCTCCTCTGCCCCTTCCCCTCCATGCAGGCAGGCGGGAGCGGACGGCCAACCCCAGCCAGGAGGACCCAGCAAGCAGCCCCGCGCCGGAGCGCCCCGAAGACGCCCAGCCCGGGGAGCAGCGGAACGGGCAGCACGTGCCAGGTTGGTCTCCCTGGTGTGGCCAGCACCCAGCAGAGACCCCGCAGAGCCGGGCCTCTGTCCGCCCGCAGAGCTGTTGGCTCCCGGCATGGCTGGTCTGACCCTGCTGGTGTTTGAGGTGTTGCCTGAGTCGCAGCGAGCTGGAGCTGTTCATGGGTCCAGCTCTCGGCGCCGTTCTCGATGCCGGCGTAACCCTGGGCGTGTTGGTTTGACTCTGCATCGCTCTTATCTGCGCAAAGGGGCCTGATTCCACTAAACCACAGCGAGGAGGCGAGGTGTTTCCCCGCGGGCTGGGAAAACGTCGCCCTGGAAGGTCGATGTTCTGGGAGGGGATGTCCTCCCTCTGCTCAAGCCAAGCCCATCCCTTCCACAGCACCGGGAGCCGCGGTGCCGAGCCCCAGCCCTCCCTGCCAAAGCTCACGCCTTGGTCCTGGCTGCTCCTGGACGCTCACCGCCCACGTCCTTGTGCCTCCCTCGAGGGCACGCGCGGCTCTCCCGGCCCGGAGGGGCCTCTCGCTGCGCCCTGGGTTGGGTAGGGTGCTCCGGGGAGGCGTTCCTCCCGCCGCCGGCCCGGCCCTCCCCCAAGGAGCGTATATGGTCACCGAGTGAGCGCCTGCGTCCAGGCCATGCCCATCCTCGAGTGCACCGGGGCTGGCAGCGTGCGGGGAGCTGGGCAGCGTGCGGGGAGCTGGGCAGCGTCCCTGCCTGCGCGGCGGGCGCGCTGCCACCCCGGTGGCAGTTGGCGTTGTGTGAACGGTACCTGCTCCCTGCCAGAGCAGCCGGGGCCGTGGATCCCGCTGGAGGGGCTCCCCACCGTGCCAGAGTTTTGGCTGGGGGCCGCACATGGTCAGAGAAGCCCACCCTGAAACAGCACCGCGTTGGGGCGTGCCTGCCCATGAGCGGGGCTCTGCGACACCGTGGGCAGGAGAAGGGGGAATTTGCTCCTTGGATTCATGCCACGATCCGGAGAGTAGTAACAGAGCCGGTTCCTTCCCGCTCTGTGCCTCAGTTTCCTTCTCCTCCTGCCTCGCCTCCTGCACACAGACGCTGCCTTCCTGCCCGCTTGCGGACCTGTTGCCTTGTGGCTGCGCTGAGCTTCTGCTGCCCTCCGGACACGGCCGAAACGCCTCTCTGCCCGCGGCTGAGCCGTGTGCTTCCCTTCCAGGAGGTGGGCTGGCTCCTGCCGCCGAGGCGCTTGAGGGCAGCCAGGTGCCCAGTGACTCCGAGGGGGACGTGTACTGCGATACCCTGGAGCAGATGGAGCCTGAGCAGGTAACGGAGGGCTGGGAAGCGCCGGGGTCCTGCCGCACCGCGGCGGAGGCTTTGCCTGCTGCCCACCCTGCCCTGCCTGCACTGTGCAGGCAGATCTCTGTAGTGTCAGCTCCCCCAGCTCTGCACGCCACCGCGGCACCGCCACGCTGCCGCTCGGCACCGCTATCCTGGCAGCCCGGTGAGGCTCCCAAAACCTCCGGGGCCACCCGGCTGCACCCCTCTGTGCTTTGTGTCCCTCTTGGAGCCTGGTCCCCGTCACCAAGGCGAGGCTGAGGAGCCCTCGGTGCGGCCCAGCGCCACCCACGGCCCCCTCCTTCCGCCGGCGGGGCACTGGGGGGCTGCCGGCGCTGAGCGAGGTGGGTGCGGGCACCCTGCTTGCACCCCTGCCACTCGCTCTCCGCTCCCTGCTCCCCGGCAGCTCGGCTGCCACCGGCAGCGCTCGGCACTTGAGGTGCTGCGGCGAGGCTCGGCGGATCCGGTGGGCAGGAGGGAGGAAGCCGCCCGGCTGCCTGGCTTCTCCCTGGAGCTCTTTCGCCACCTTGAGCCTGGGCACCTCACTTCTCTCCCGGCCTCCGCTCTGTCACCTCCCAAACCATCTGCTAACCACTGTTGCCGGTGGGATTCGGCTTCACTCAGCCCCACGCGCCCTCCGCCACCAAAAATGCCACCGCGGGGCAAGGGGGAGAGACCACCACCGCCCTGGCGTTGCCCGCCTCTCGCCTGCCGTGCTCCCGCAGCCCCCGGGGAGGGGAGCGGGGGTCTCAGGGCCCTTCTTCTCTCCCCTCGCGCAGGCTGGGCAGCCGCTGGGTCTCTCCCCGAACGGCCTCCAGGCCGGGCCTGAGCCGCTGCCGCCCCGTGGCGCTGGGCAGGGAGAGCGGGGTGAAGGCAGAAGACTAGAGGGGAGGAGCAGCGCTGGCCTCGCGGCCCTCGGCTCCCAGAGAGGTGGGTGCAGCGTTTGGCTCCTGCGCGCCTTCCCGCTGCTCCCTCCCCACCTCCCGGCAAGCGGGGCCGGACGCCGGGGGGCTGAGCAGAGATCCCCAGCAGGGAACGGCGTTCGGCTCCAGCACCCAGGGGTGGGTTGTTCGTAGCTGCAAGAAGTCCTGAGCGTCCCCTCTCGCCACCCCTTTGTCCCCAAGCAGTTCGGTGTCTTTACCCCTCTAGGACACAGCTGTGTTGCCCGTTTCGTGCTAAATTACGTGCGTTTGGAGGATGCTCTGCTGGCTCCTCTCCAGCAGCCGGGCGGGGAGCGCGGATCCCCGGCTGCCTGCGCCCAGCTCCTGCCCGCGGTGCCCGCCGCCGGCGTCTCTGCCCGGTGCCTTTGGCTGCAGGTGGTGCTGGGGGGGTGAAGCTGGGCCCTGCGTCCCTGAGGTGCGGGGACGCCCTGCTCCCGTGGTGCCCCTCGCCTAACGCCACCCGCCGCTGCTGCCGGCGTTTGGGGCCCACCAGCCCCCGAGCCGTGCCGCTGCGGAGAGGGGCCAAGGAGCCTCCTGCCAGCCTCTGCGCCTCTCCCCAGACGCATCCTGGGGGGCTCCCTGCTCCAGGGTGGCACAGCCCACCCCTCTCCCGCTTATCTCCCCCCCCGTTAACATTTCCGCAAACCCTCCCGGGCTGCTTGACCTTGGGAGTTAACTTGTAAGGAGGCCGATAGAGCCGGGCTGGGCTGTCCCCCGGGGTGCCGGCGCGCGCGGGGCTGGCAGCGAGCCCCTGCCTGGCTCCCGCTCGCAGCACGGATTGTCTGGGCGTTTGCCGGGCTCCGGCCGGGCGGGTTTGGGGCCTTCGCTCAGCCCGAGGGCCTGGCAGGGAGGCAGCCGCGCAGGCAAGGCATCCTGCCTGGCCGTCGGCATCCCGCCTTCGCCGCGGGAAGCGAGGTGACCCACCTGCACTGCGTGGCGGCCCGGAGGTCACCCACTGCCACCGCCACTGCGCTGGGGGGACGTGGTGGCCCGTGGCCCTGGGGACAGGCCCAGTGCCGGCTGGCGGAGGGGGCTCTGGGCTGGGGGCTCCCGGCTCTGCCCGGAGCAGCTGGGGGGTGGGCAGGGGCGGCAGCGGGGGGGGAGGCCACGGGGCGGGGCAGGCA